ATTTGCTTCGTTTTCCTCAGCGCCTTTTCCATTCTAATGAATCAAGCTATCAATAGCATTTCCTGTCCCTGATCTCCATATAATTGGTTGAGATTCCTCCACCATTTTGCAGGGAAGTAGTAATGGGGTTGCAAAGCTTAACTGTCTTGATCTTAAAAGTTTCCCAATTCTTCGGCATCTGACCATTGCCTTTCTCATTATTGTTATTTCTCACCCCCCTACTTGAAGTCTAAATCCATTTTTAGATGTTTGTAATATGATGCCAGAAACCATGATAAGGGCTATTTCGCCCGCACCAAACCGTTGCCCCCTCTAAATTTCAGTAAAAAGATTCGTTTTATTGCTACCTATTTTTCTAGTCTGCACGACTTGCTAATTGTCTCCTTAATTACGTTGTTTATACCTTTTCTCTACTCAACTTGTAGGTATGCATCATAAAATTTTTCGGACTGAACTTTTTCGATTGAATTTTTCTGTTTTTCTCATCCAATTTGCGATTAGTTGAATCAGGGGTTTAATTGTTCCATCCAGCTAACTTTTGATTCAGGTTCGTTAACGGTACTTGGATGTTGTTATCTAATTCTTGTGGACCTACTTCAAACACTATCTTTTATTCATGCTGGTATGTGTTATAACCTCTGCATAAAATCATTTGTTTGTTCTAAACGTTAAAAATGCTGGCTAAATTCATCATGAATTTTTTTAAATCGATAGCTTGCAAGTCTTGTCTTTATTAACAGGCTTTAATGCGCTCAGTCACCGAGTGCAATTCATCTGGATTAAATTCACTTGGCTACGATGAATTATTTAACCATTCGTCATGGAAACTTAATTAATGAGCATTGGTTTAGCTTGTCTTTTCTGGCTAATTTACCCTGTAAATCTACATACAGAGACATAATTTTATGTTTAAGACTAAGATTTTTTGAGTCCTAATTTTTATAATTTGACTATTTGAATTCTACTAATTCTGATAAGAAAAGAACGACACTCGTTCTTCCGTTATTGCTTTTGTGGACACTTAACTAGTGCCATTAAAGACATTCATGGACACCCTTAGTTATTTTTAATCAAGCTATTGAATCGAACGTATGAAGACCAAAATAGTATTTTCTTTATTATGTTCGATTTGTACTTTCGTTGTAACTAAGTGATTTGGCTTGGTTTTTTAAACTTAATCGTATTTTCAGCTTGTCCAAAGTCCCCTCCTATAGTAGTTATAATATTTCCCGGCTTTGGACCATGCACTGGGTACATCCCACGGCGTTTCGCCGCCATCGTCAGGAAGTCTTGTCGTTCCTGGCACTAAGCTACGACTTGCCCAAAAGACAAGTGAATTCTACCCTTTGACCAACTTCCTGCTGAACAGTTATGTTGTCTTCTTTCTTGGTACATTCATCCATCCAATATCTTTTTATCGCCCTTTTCACTATCAAAATCTCTATTTTGCCTATTTTAACCCAGTCTAGATGTTTCTCTGAGACAATTTAATGAGACCTATTCACACTTCCCTATAGTTCCCTTATACTTCTCCCCATTTTGCTGGAAATATCTGTACAATTTTGCCCGTAACGTCTGTTGATAATTTATCCAGGTCCTTTTAGTGTCCCCCTCTTGTGCTGCATCATCCGTTTCTTATCTTTCCTCTATTATTCCCACTATTTTTGTGCTACCCGAGGTGTGATTTTCTATAGTATGTTTCATACTTTCGATAGCGCGTATACTCCAGCTTCACTGAGCAGCTCCAAAAGCCTGGATTCTCATGATGGTTAAAAGACTAACTTAACTGTAGCATCCCTTATCTCGCTATCGATTGTTCTAGAGTTCATTATCACATATCTTATCTAATTGTAGTTTGCTATTTTGTGTAATTTACCCTTTGCTCTCAATTTTGGCACTTGTATCATCTTGTCGTTAACATGATTTTAGGCAGTGGCGATTGTCAGGATATAGCTATTTTTGTTATCCTTCGTCTGGCTATTTTCCCACGTAGCTTTCTGGCCACAAACCATTCTCAGGTGTGAGATTTCCATTTCAGCCTGGCCGGACAGTGTCATAATTACGCTTTCTATTCAAACCTATCAAAAAGCTTCAGTGGTGTTTATGTCAGCAATCTCTTAACGCTAGTATTGGCATGCTAAGGATGTTTTCGAATATATTCAATTTGTATCAATCAATATGGATGTAATTGTCAGAATGTCATTTCGTGTTTTTCCCCATATTCCTTAATATCTATACATGTATTTACTTCACTACAGAAGCACCTCCCGAAGCCGCCGAGTCAGGAGCCGAAATTCCAGGCCACCTTTCTTCGCAATCCAGTATATTTAAATCTGCCCAAGATACATCTTCTAATGACGAATCTGGTTTTATGAACCTAATTTCACGTATCTTCTCTTCTCCTGCTGTGGCAGCTGGCAGCCCTCTTCCCGTTGAAAATTCAATCGTCACCTCAGCCTCACCGCCTATCATTGATCTAGCTGATGAGGGCGGAACGTTGACCTCACCCAGATCGGTTTCTAGGAGGTCCGGATTCATTTTTTAATTTCTATTCCGATTAACACTTCTTTCAGAGTAGTGCTATCATTTAGACAAAGCTACCCGCTTGCGATTTCGCATATACTTATGTGCTTTAGTCCATTTATGTATTTTTACTCACATGCACCCTTTCCTCAAGCCGCCTAGCTATTCCGATAGGGGGTAAAATCAGACATCTTTTGTCAAATATCTTGGAGAATTTCCTGAGAATTACTTGCAAAGGAGCTATGGTTTCACTTGAATTAGATTAGGCAAAGATTTGTTGAGATATGCCTACTCATGCGTTTAAGTAGGAAAACGACAAGCGGGACCAAGACGATACACCATTATCCGAGCGATTCAGATTTATGTTGTAATAGGGTAAATAGCTACGGGCACTTTGAAATGATGTCAATTTTGGCCAAGAAGTTAAAAACAATGTTGGAAATCCTACCTTTTCGCCCAACTTTTACCACTTTCAGTCTTCCAATTTTAGTTATTTGCTCTTGATGGAGTC